ATGCCTTGTTCAAGTAACAGCAGGGAAGCAAGTATCACTGGACTGCAGAGTACATGGGGGTTAGTAAGGCAGGGGTGGAGGCAGAGACAGTGGCAGAAGGCTTCTGGGNATGCCTTGTTCAAGTAACAGCAGGGAAGCAAGTATCACTGGACTGCAGAGTACATGGGGGTGAGTAAGGCAGGGGTGGAGGCAGAGACAGTGGCAGAAGGCTTCTGGCAGATAGGAAGTGAGGAGGAGGGGAAAAGAGGGAGCTCTCAGCAAGTTCTTTTTTTTTCAGTCTCAGTTCTTTTTTTTTCAGTAAAATATAGGAAGCAAAGTTCTCAGATGAGATTTTAAGAAGAATGTGGAGCTATGGCGGGTGTGAGTAGGAACACTTGGAGTTAGGACAGACCTGAGTTCAAATCCTACCTCAGAACTTATGAGCTATGTAATGACTCTGGGCAAGTCACGTAAGCTCTTCTCACTTCCATTTCTTCATCAGTGGGGACAAAATAATTTCTTCAAATGGGGATAATAATAGTACCTACTGCCAAGGTTGTTGTGAGGTCACAAAATGAAATACCATGTACAATCCTTTTTATAGCACCTTAAAGTGCTATAAAAATGCTTGTTACTATCATTATTATTGTTATCCCAACAAGGTTTTCATTTAACCACACCAGGGGTCTTCCCACTTAAAAAAGCAAAACAAAATGTTGTTTCCAGTGAGTCCTTCACTCTTTACTGTTTTTTTGCTGGTACAGTTATCCCTTCCACATCACGACTTTTTTCATTGCAGTTTCAATATATCATGGGTTGGCATAAGAAATTAAATGGGAATTTTAGGGGAGTTTTGTGGAAGCCACAGACAAAATGCGAAAGCCAGCAGATGACTCAGAAAAAGTTTAGAAACTCAGAAATGCATAAAAGATACATATAGTACTATAAACATCCCATAAGAGAAAGAATTCAGACTTCTCTGAAGAGGGGAGGGCCAAAAAATTTTAGGGGGATTTTCCAGATTGCAGTGGTGCTGTGCCCCTAACTACCTCGATGTCGAAGGAATAACTGTATTCCCCTCTGCGCACTGTGTAATTTATGCCGACTGGGTGAGGCAGGGCAGGAGCGGATTCATGCAGCATTCCAATATGGGTGAGTCACTGCTCTTCAGCTTCCCATTGCTTCATTCCTCAGTCTCCCCCAGGGCTTCCCTCCCTAGGCCATCCCAACTCATATTCTGTTAGGTAAAGGATGAGATTCAAGAAAGGAAAAATGATGCTCTTGCTGGACTGCTATAAGGCTATAAATAATAAGTCTAATATGCTCTGTCCTCTGTCTTTTAGCTCTTTCCCCACTACTTTACTCTGAGATTAGGGAGGGAGACTAAGGAGTAGCCTTACTATGACTGAATAAAGGATAGAAGGATAGGGATGGATCTATGATTTCATTGGTTTGGGGGAAATTCTGGGTGAGGAAAGTCTTTCTACCAATGATGTGCAGCATCTTCTCTGAAACTCATAGTCTTAAGAGAGTTGCCTAGAACCTTGGGAGTTTAATTGACTTGCTTAGGCTCACAGAGCCAGCATGTGTGGAGGGAAGCTGGGGGGAAGAGGAGGCCTCGAACCCGAGTTTGTCCAGGCTCCAAGGCTGACTTTCAATGTAGCAGGCCATACTGCCTCTTTACTGTTATTTCTGCCACTGGTAATTGGCTTGCCTGACATTTCTAGTACACACCCCTATCAACGCTGTTTCTGTGCTTTGTGTTCCTTCTGCCCTTCCCAGATATACTGGGGAACAACCTAGGGGAGCCACCATGAAATTAGGGGAAATAAAACTTTCTTATGCAAAAATAGATATTAATTCATTAGCAAATTAATTAAAAAGGCAACAATGCGGAAGCATGAGCTATGGATTGAGAATCTCTACATAACCTTGGGCTTGGAAAAATAGTAACCATAGAGAATAATTCAATTCAGTGATTGAGAAGCTACTTTTTACTGGCACTGGGTTAGGGTTCAGTGATGAGGGAGACAGAGAAATGTAAACACCTCAGTCTCTGCCTTAAAGATGCTCACAATCTCAAATATGCACACATAAAACAATTTAAGGACCCTGCCAAAAAATGGTGGATTGAGTGCCAAAACAGTGGCACTCAAGGTTTCTGTTGGCTTCACTTGAATAAGTGATCTCTGGTGTTAATTTTTCATTGCAAGCATTTCACCAGGAAAGCAATTTGGAATGGGAAAACTTCGTCCTGCAAACTTGAACCCCCTAGAATGGCTGACAAAAGAGACTAAATTTATTTTGGGTACTTCTCTAAAAATAATCTTTATGATTTATTTTGTTAACCCTCTCCCTGCCCCCCCATTCAAGATTTTCCCTAATTGTAGCAGAAGTTGGCTGTCGTCTCTCTAGGGACTTTCAGTCAGGTCCACTTGAAAGTACTGAGGTTAATAAGACATTGGCTGTAGAATAGACTTTATTTAACCTGACTAAAAGAAATGAGGAAGGAAAGAAGGAAAGAAAGAAGGAAGCAAAAGAAAGAAAGGAAGAAAAAAGATAAAAAGAAATATGAAAGAAAGAGAGAGAGAAAGGAAGGAAGGAAAGGGAAGGAAGGAAGAAAGGAAAAGAGGGGGAAGACAAGAGGAAGAAAGAAAGAAAGAAAGAAAGAAAGAAAAGAAAAGAAGGAAAGAAGGAAGAGAAAGAATACTATCATACTTGAGCCCTCAAAAGTCAGGAAAGCTCTCATTCCTTTTCATGAAGACATCAGGCAACCTTTCACTACAAGTTAGCCTGTCAGGCACACTTCATGTCAGGACCTGCACCGACCCCATGATTCAGACTGCCAGCAGCTGAGTAGGTATGAGTTCTCCTTAGTGTACATGATTTCTTCCCATGCAGATTTCTCCCTTTGAGGCTAGGTAGATAAGGTGGCCTCTAGACTTCTCTCCAGCTCTAAATGAGCCTGAACATCTTCATATTCTTTAGCATCATCTCTCCTAATGGCTTCAAATTCCTTTTCTTTCACTCTCTCCATCCCTTCATATCCCTATTTAGTGAGATAGCTCCTATGTGCATGTTGTTACTAACACAGGCAGTATGGATGTGCAGACCTCAACCAGGGTCCAAGTGCAGCCCAGTGCCTCTGTGTCTGTATCCCCCATTGAAGGCCGTAGTGATGTAGTGCTGGATATGGAGTCAGAGAAACCTGAGTTCAAATATCTGCTCTGTTCAAACACTATCAATGTGACCTTGGGCGAGTGATTTAACCTACTTGTGTCTCAGTTTCTTCATGTATAAAATAAGGCATTTGGGCAAGATAAATCTAGTTATGAGGCAGCTACGTGGTGCAGTGGATAGAGTGACAGTCCTGGAGTCAGGAAGACTCATCTTCCTGAGTTCAAATCTGGCCTCAGACACTTACTAGATGTGTGACCCTAGGCAAGTCACTTAACTCAGTTTGCCTCAGTTTCCTCGTCTGTAAAATGAGCTGGAATAGGAAATAGCAAACCACATCAGTTTCTTTGCCAAGAAAACCCCAAATAGGGTCACAAAGAGTCAAACAAGGCTGAAAAATGACTGAACAACAACAACAAAAAGAGGGAATTTGACCTGTTAGCCAGAGGTTCCCTGCAGACTCTAAATTATGATCCTATGAAATGTACCAGTGTCAAAATATTCATTGTATTTCTTGAAAACTTGTCTTTATTTTATCAAAGGAAGAAGAACTTTTCACTTGATAGGAAAAGCTGTGTGGCAGAAAGAACTTTGGGCTTGAGAAGCTTTGGGTTTGAGTCGGGTACCAGCTTTGCTGCTTGCTAGCCAGGTGCACATGGGGCCAAGTCACTTTGCTTCTCTGAGACTGTTACCTGGTCTGTAAAACAGAGGTAAATACACTTTTAGCCCCATCCTCTGGGGCTACTGTGCAGAAAGTATTCTCTTAGTGGGAGACCTTCTAGCGTGGTATAAGCTGTAACCCCACCTCCCACCACTTGCCAGGCCTCCCAGGGTTTTTGCTGCTTTTTGCAATCATCACTTTCTTTGCTTCAGTGAAACACCTACACAACTCTGTACTCCCCAGATTTAACCCCTCTGGGTGTCCCTGTGCTGAGTGCCAGGGTGTTTTCATCTTGGGGAGAGAAGATTCCCCAAAGATTAAGAGATCCAAACCAGATAAAGGCCTTACACTGATTTAATTTCAAAAGGACCCCCGATGCCGAGGCTTGGGAAATTGCCTGCCTGCTTATGCTAATCTGTGAATCCCCAGGACCTGCTGCTTCTAGTCAGGCTGTAAAACCTCTGAATGTTCGAGCTTCTTTGGGGGCCTTCTGGCCAATAAACTTCTTGCAGAAAAAGTTTGAAAGGCTTAGAAAGATTTGAAAATGAAAATGGGGGACGGGGAGATGATAAGCATTTTCTAGATGAGAGAAGATTTTGAGTTTGTTTTCACCATAGACTCAGAGTATTACAGAATGAGAATCTTAGGGCTGAAAAAGACCTAAGACAGGAATCCCCTAAAACCCCAGACCCCGAGGGACCATTCGTTCTTCCTCCTCTTTTGTCTATGTGATGATTAACTCACCTATTCACCTGTGTTCAGCTCTGAGGTGTGGGTGTTAGGACAGATGAGTCACCAAGGCAAGTGTGTTCCTATAAGTAACTAATGGAGAGACAGGCAGACACACACACATACACACACAAACACAGAGAGACAGACAGAGGCAGAGATAGAGACAGAGAGAGAACCCTGGATATGAATTTAAATAGACCTAGTCTAAAGACTAGGGAAGGCATAATCTAAATATCATGCCCTTAAGTCACTGATGGTCATCTTTGGGGATGACAGTATCTGTGCTATAAGGATAACATAAATGGCCATAGGTTGGTGGGGACTTCCAGCCAGATTGAGATATGGTTCAGGATTTTAAAACTTTAGGGTGCTTTCCTTATGAGATCACTTCTAGTTTGCTCTCTCTCTGTCTCCCTGTCTCTGTCTCTTTGTCTGAGACAGAGAGACAGAGACACAGAGAGACAGAGACAGACAGAGAGAGACAGATGATAGACGGAGATAGATGATAGATGGAGAGACAGAGATATAGACGGAGACAGAGACTTACGTAGTAGTTTGCATGCCTCCCCCCACCCCTTCCCATTTTGTATGTGAGCAACTTTGAGGGCAGGAACTATTTTTCTCTTTCACTGTATCCCTGGTGATTATTACAGTGTTCCTGGTACTTAGTACGTGCCTAATAAACACTTGTTGACTAATTTACTTTATAATAATCCTGACTTTTACATAGAGCTTTCAGTTCAGAAGGAAACACAGAAAAGCAGGACAATTTTGAAACTATGGTTTCTAGAACCTGATGTAGGTTCTCTTATTCCAATAAACCCCTGAGCTTGATAGTACAAGTATTACACCCCTGTTTTACAGATGGATAAACTTGCTCATGGTCATATGCCAAGGCCCCTTTCCACCACACAATCCTGTCTCTCTAATTTTGAAATAGTTTTCAGCGCTTCTAAAACTTTGGGTCACAACCCCATATGGAGTTGCAAAAAATTTGGCAACATTAAAAGGTTTCTGAATGCGCAAGGATCCAAAAATTAATTCAAAATCAAACATGTAATGAATCTGAGGTGTTTCTGGCAGTGCTTGCCTGTGTTACATCTCACAACTTCACTGCAACCTTGGTTCTGAACACAAAGCATGTGCACTTTGCACTGTGCGATGCCTTCAGGCCACACAAAGCCAGCTAATGCTGCCAAAACTCGAAAAAAGGTTGGGAGTGGAAATAGTTTAAGAAGCGCTGGTTTAGATGAAGGTTTACAGATAAAAGGGCCCTCATGTTGAACTGTTTCTCTTCTCATTCTTATTCACAAACGACTATTTCAAAAGATGCATAAGTACCCATCATCATGGACATTGACTTTAATGATTTCTAATCCCTAACTGATAGTGCTGCCCCCAACTCAAAAATTACCTTGTGTTGACTATATATTTTGTATTTACTTATATGTGTATATGCTACTTAGTGGTAGCTAGGTGGTGCATTGTGACTAGCTGTGTGACCCTGAGCTTGTCACTTAACCTTTGTTTGTCTTAGTCCTCTGGAGAAGGAAATGGCAAACTATTCTAGTATCTTTGCCAA